TTTTTTTTTTTTTTTTTTTTTTATGGATAAAAGTTTGGGTTTTTAAATGTTTTTCATTGATTCCATTAAATTGGGTCTTTTTTTTTTTCAATTAAAATTTAAAAGTTTAATTAAAAAAAAATTAATTTTAAATAAAATCAATATAAATCTAAAGAAGGTCATATAAGGTATTTTTCCAAAAGGTTTGTTTTTTTGATTTTGATTTAATACAAGAGAACTTTGAGTATTAAATGTTCTTCCCCTAATTTTTTACAAGAAAAAGTTAAAATTTTATCCAGCATTACCATTCCTCTCCCCAAGATTTTACACCATTTTTTTCTTCCCTGAAACCCTTGAACAAGGTGTAAAAGAGAGTTTTTTTACTGCATTCGTAGGAATAAGCATAAGTGCTACAACATATCATTTGTGGTTTTGTTAAGCGTATTAAAAACTATTTAGGTTTTTTTATATCGTAGACAGCAAAAATCTGTTGTATTGTGCATATACCCGCAAATACAGTAAATAAATAATAATGAACTAATGCACATAAACATTAAAAACTAATGTAGCAGATTGTACTTAAATATAACAAAAAAAAATATCTGCTTATATGTCTTTTAAACATATTATGATGTTATAGTGATTACAGAGGTTTGAATCGGAGACTGACACGGAGGAGTTTGAGAAGTTGGCCAGTAGTCCTATCAAGTTGACCTGCCAGTGAAGGGATGAAGAGATGCCAGCCAGCCCAAGGGTGGCTGTCAGGCGTCTGCTGTGGCCCTTCTTGAGGTTGGTGTTCCGGAAGTCAAGAAAACTACAGGCTAGCCCATCTCCATCCTTATCCTGCTCCATGCACTCCCCAGCCTAAACAGTCACCTCTCTGTCACAGCACCACCAGCAAACACAACAAGAGTTTGCGACAAATGAGTATTACATAGATGACTCTATGCCTTCGAAGCTACACGACGAAGAGAGTGGTGCCAAGTGCCATCACCCACCTGCCTCTGAGCTGCAGCGCCAGTTGGAAGATATGAACACTCTGGTTGCCCTGCTGCAGGTACAGAACCAAAGGCCCCAAATACGAGCAAGTTGTTTTTGTGTTGCTCATGATTTATCTGAATCAAGACACTTTCTTATTACTTTTTGCTATATTTTTTTCAAAACTTTGTTCTTATTTTTCTGTTAATTTTCTTCTGTGTTTTTTAATTTGAAACCATAATTTTATTTCATTTATATTTTTCATTTCCTTGTTATTGAAACAGATGCACTTCATTTCTTCCTTGGCTGATAAGTATAGTAGTAATTTTTTAGTTAGCTTGGGCTTGGTCATCTGGTGTATGTTCCTGATTCCTTGTCTCGTCCTTTTCCTCTCATTTCCCATATATTTAGACAATGAATTCATGAAGAAATTTATATTCCAGTTTTGAGAGGTATGACTCCTCTAATTTTTAGAATGAGTAAAATAGTACTCAAGGAAAATAATTTAAGAAACCATGTTTAAAGGAGCTCTTGAATTTTGCATGAAATAATATGCATGTAACTCACTTCACGATATAGAAAGTGCTCCTTAGAAGAATATTGAGCCGTAGTTATAAACAAGAGCAAATTTCTTGGATGGATGTGAAAATTACAGGTACTACATGTGCTTGCTCACATTTTTTTGTATTGAATGTTGCTGTAATAATGAGTGTAAGCATTTCAGATAGTTGACGAGTTTAACTGGTAGAAATCTCTTTCAAGTTTAAGTTTTGTGTGGTTGGTTCCTTATGTTTATTTTTATTTGTAATTTCTTTACAATCTGAAAGCAAATTAGGGCCATACTTGGATCTTATGATTTTATTTTGCAATTTCTTACAAATCGTTCTCTGTTCTTGTTCATGTAATTTTTTTTAAATATGTGTCGTTACTGTGCTTATCTTTCTTTATTTTTATATTCTCTTAACCTCGCAGTAACTTGGAGTTGCAAAATTTGCTAGTGACAAACTTGCAAGCAAGATTTTGTTATAAAGAAAAATATGTTATTATGTTATGCTCTAATTGCAGATAATAGCTTAATTGACCAAATATTTGTCTAGAATAAATGCTTTTGGGTATTCTTTAGTAACTTTCAATTAATTTATTTTTAAAAATATTGTTATATTCTGAGCAGATGTGGACCTGATTTTAACTTAAATTGGGAAAGTTTTCTCCCAGATCTGGTTATGTTATCAAACATTCTGAATCAGAATGCTGAAAATGTATGCACTATATAGCTGCTGCTCCAGGAATATAGGACTCGGGTATTCCTCAGTTGTCATACCTTTTCTTGCAGGAAAATCTTGGAAACACCAGAAAATGAGGTTGAACGCCTTCGTAACCACTTAGTCTCCGCCGGGCGACTTGTAGCAGATGTGGTTGCTGTTGTCCGAGGGGAATTAGTTGCTCTACGTGTTGCTATGGGATCTTAATCAAGAATTCTTGTGCCAATGCTCAAGTGAGTTGTTGCAGAGCCCTTGAAGAGCGATAGAGTGCAATGGAAGATGGGGAAATGTCTCGCGAAGATGAAGCAGCTCGTGTTGTGCAACAACTTACCATGGAGCATGAGCTGAGATGGTGCTTTAAAGCAAGAAGTAAAGGGTTTCACAGATGTTAAAGAAGCAGGAAATAGGCAGCTGAAACTGGTATAATGTATGATTATATCATTTTAAACTGAATTATAAGATTGCTGTTTAGTCACCACTGTGTAAAATCAATTATTAGTTGTATTTAGTTTTAATTGTCTTCATATTCAGAAAATATGTGTTTTTGTATTTTGTTGTTTTGTGACTTCATGCCAATTACAACTCTACCTTAAGATTTGCTCAGGGAAGTGAATTTAATGTGGAGTGAAAAAAGCCAGAGAGTAATCTTTTTTGTGCAAAATAAAAAATCCTCTCTTTGTTGTCAGAGTTTTGTGTTCATTCAAGATTTTGACTTCTATTTAAATTAAATTGTCTTTTTCTGGTTTGAAGATAAATTATTGAATTCTGAGCATATGTGGGAATGGGGATTCAGATAGTGTGTCCCCACCCCAGTTCTGTTGTTGTTTGTAATTTTACTCAGTTAATTGAAAAACAACTGTTGCTTATGAGAATTTCATATTCTGTAGGTGTATTTACATTAAGCCCTAGTGGTCATCAATTCAAGAAGAAATTTATACATTCTAAAATCAGCTCTTACTTTGTCTTATTGTAATGGTTAAGCAAGGTTAGAATTAGACACATAATAGCCCCTCACTTGAAATGAAAACCAACAAAACCCAGGAATATTGGGGTAAAAAATTTCTTAATTGTTTGAAAAGGTAATATATTCCATGAAAATAGCTTCTCTGCTATTGAATTCTGTTCGCTCTATCCTGACAAAACACAAAAAAACAAAAAATTATTTGCTTAATAAAGTATTTGAACTTCAACACTTTACAAGTGAATTTTTAACAAGCTTCAAGTTCCAAATACTCATGTCCAATGGCAATGTGTAAGATTTATACAGTAACGTTTGAGAATCCTTATCCATTGTCCGGAAATATTTTAATTCGGTTATAAAACACTTGTTGACCTGTTTTGATAGTGAATTGGGTAATTGTTGTTCCCATTTAAATTGTTGGATATCTATTATTTCAAGTGTTTTGTGTAGGGCTGACTCATTGTACTGGCCTCAAAATCTGCGATTGGTTATTGTTACCCATATGGTATGACTATTAACCTTTCTTTTTCAGGAGGGTTGTGTGACACAACCTTTACGAGTTCAGGTGGAGGGATCTAAAATGTTTTGTAGGTTGTAGAGTTATGTAGGGCGTTTTATTGTAGATCTTTGTATCATCAGCATGCATGGAAATGTTGACATATACATATTATTATATAATATTTTAATATTTATATATATATATAATATATATACTATATATATATATGTATATATATATATATATATATATATATAACTATATATATATAAATATTACTATAACCTTCACGGATAGCAGGCATGAACGTAAGCAGGTTGTCAAGATTTTGCTGCGTGAAGAGAGCTTTAAAATCTAGGGAGCAGGATCTTCAGGCGCGAGAAAGGTTTGAAACCTTGAACACAAAAAATCACACAGATTGCACACAAACGAGCGTATAATTTACCATAAACTTTTAGTTGGCATAAGTTAATGAAAAAAACAAGAATATAGAATCGCACTTTTACAAAGAATGATCAAAATACAAATAGAAACTTAAAACCAGACTCATGTGAATGACACATAATTTTCATCAGATTGATACTCTGACGTAATTACCCTAAACTACACTGGGATTCCTTGAAAATTAATTATATCTAAATTGTTGTCTATCCTAATAACATTGCACATAAAATGAAAAAATTTAATTTACAATCTCTCGCTTAGAATATTACATGTAAAGAACAAAATGTGTACAAGTTCATACCTAATTTGCAATTTAACTGTGTCTGAAACTAGCGAAATAATAAATGTCCTAAGTAGAATGTTTTTAGGCAGGCATAGCGCATCACAACGTCTCCTACTATAATACTGTAATTTGTTACCACCCGTGTCCTCAAATTCTTAACATTTCCTATACTAGTTTTTCCCTGCCGACGTGAACTTGACCTATTTTTCTGCGATTCCTAACTTTACTCGTGACTTCGCAATTTTGGCCTTGATGGTCGTGCGGCTGATCGCTGCGGTGACGCCGCTCGGTCCCAACCTCTGCGTTGTAAGAGAGACAGGATTCGCCTCTGCGTCTGCGTTGTCTTCTTTGCGTCCTCTTCCGTTTCTTCTTCGTTGTCGATCAGTCTTCTTCCTCGTGCGCCCAAGTCCTCGGCTCTCTCCTCGTCTGCTACCGGCGCCCTGACTACGCCCACGTGCGAAAATGTTCCTTGCACTTTACGAATACTCAGTGCAAGTTCCTCGCTCGTTGCTACTTTACTTTGACAAGCTAGAACTTTAATGTTTATCTAAGCAAGGCAACTTTTACTTCCCGTGTTGTTAATTGAAGAAACTACTTAATCTGCACTATCTCGCGGACGACTAGCTAGAACGTTGTTCGACGCGAATTCTCACCTAGTAGTCGTTGCAACGGCAAACAATTCTATATGTTTAACGAAAATGTTGACGGTTGTCGAGGTTTATCAAAAAAAAAAAGTACATGCTACCATATCTAGAAACAAAAATACTACGAAAATATATCTGTAAGACAAAACAAAATTGAATAGAATATAAATAATTCCCTCACAGATTTGTGAATGCTTCAACAAGATATTTATTTGATTAAGAAACAAAAAAGATCAACCACTTAAAAGGACATTTATGTACAACTTAAAGAGTTGATAAGCACCCTCACGGAAATGCTTCTCAATTGTCTAGCACTAAGCATTCCTGGTAAAAAACTGTCACCGGTTGAAGAATTACAGACTTCCTTCACTGTTCCATCACCACAATTTCAACAAAACGCAGAGACAATTTTACATTATGCACATACAAAAATTAAAGGAGCTGGCAAAAAACAGTTTAAATGATAGGAACACATAAATTCCATAAACGTAAAAGAAAGGTTTTACGGTACACTAATGTGTAGATCCCAAATACATAACATTAAATAATATTATTTTACTATCCAATGTTTTATAGATGCAAAAAACTATGAATACCTAAATTTCACATTCCACTAAAGCATTGCCCATGTGTGGTCACTTTAAGTCTTTAAGCATCGCCCAAAGGATGCCATAGAGATTGTACCCACGCATGAAGGTACACAGTTCCACTCATTTATGAGTTTGCATAAAGAGAAAAAATGCACAATCTTTTCAAGTGGCCTTTCATTAGGCCCTCTAAAAGAGTTATCCACATCCTCCATGATATACTTTCCATTCGTGATATTTAAAACATCTAGAAAATCATTAAATTCTTTTCTCTATTCAAGTGTTTCTAGGTTTAATTTTCTGAGTGTATTTTTGTTGTAGTTCTCAAGGAATTTTAATTTTTCCCTGCATTTCTCCCATAAGCTTTCCACATCTTTTTTGTAGTCAGGGCAGCAGACCACAAACGCATACTCTCAAAATAAGTCTTGTATATGCCAATTGAGATATACAATTTGAAATCCATAATGGCATTAAACTCAATAAATAACTGATGATATTTGTCTTTTGAGTGATGACTGTCACTTGCTTTTCTCATTTAAGGTCCTGAGATATAATACCACACACGTTGATTCTGTTAAAATAAAGTTAAAACTAAACCAGAGAACCAAATTTTATTTTGATATCCTGGCAGATTTTCCTCATATTAACTGGGTAATAAAGTAATTATTTATTTAGTTATTTAAGTATTTATTTATTTATTTAAATATTCATTTATTTATTCATTCATTTATTTATTTATTTATTCCAACCAATAATACCCTATCTGTGTGCCAAAAATATCCATTGTGAGAAAATGTATTTGGTGGGTCAACAGGACCATTCCTTACGAAGTTGTGGTGATGAAAATGTACATAATGAATATTTAAATTAATCAATCATTTGAATTTGAGGATTCTCTTTACCATTACAAGAATAACAACAGCCATTCCCAAAAAATCCAAATTTTATAATTCGCCTTTCTTCTGCTTTGAACAAAAAGTATACATAGCACATTTCTGTAGCAATACAAAAAACAATAACAACACTCGAAAAACCTTTACCCATTTAATATTCCCATTCATACTGTTATTTGCAATACAAACATCCATGTACGTTTTGATTTTCCCGTGCATGCATGGCTGTTTACCTTTATCATACTATTGAAATTATTAATATCTAACAAAACTTGAAGTCCCCTTTTTCACTTCTGTTATGTTTATGTCTTCTCTGGCTTCTTGGACGTTGAATTTAATGTAAGTTCCCAAATTCCATTTGCAGCATAGTCCAGTATGGTCATTCCTTCTCATTAAATTAACCTACTTGTTAAACATCATCTCCTGACCATAAAAGTCTTCTACTCATTAGATTTAATACATTTTACTGACACCGTGGCTTATTCCAGCTTCTATCCATCTAATCATCACTGTGTCAGAATAACTTACGCTTCACAGTTCACAAACCGAGATGTTCACTTGTTTACATTTTAACACTGCAGCTCATGCGGTCCATCTCTCAGATGACTAGAATTTTCTTCCGTTGATAACCAGTCATAAAAAAATTTTCAGAACCTCTTTGTTATAGTTCTCAGATATCATAGCTTCAGGTTTATGACAATAGACTTTATGCTGTCGTCATCAGAATGGTCTCAACAAAACCATGTGCGGTGCTTCATACTGCAGACTAGAGCATGTAGTACACTTTACAATAAAGCATTCTAACATCTATCTTGTTTTATTGTTTATGAATACTGTGATTTATTGAAGTATTAAAATTTTGATATCAAAAAATATGTTTAATATGTGTTTGGGCCTGAAACACCCAGTAGTTGGTTTGTGAAGCAAGATCCGCTAACATAAAGATGATACATATGAGAGATCACTGTGTGTATTTGAACAACTTTTACTGGCGCAAGTGTTCCAGGGCTAAGATGGGCGGTACGGCTCCATTTCTTTCCTCCTTTGTTTGCCTGGGCCTCTCACGCCTTCTTCTTTCTGATTAGATAAGCATGCTTCAGTGTCTGATCCGGTTTACTCCTTGACTATCAATTCTCTCCTCCTTTCATGTAATTAATTAAACCCCCAGAAATTTCTCAGGTGTCCATATCAAGTGAATCATCATCATTTCCACTATTTTCCTCGTTTATTGATTACACTCACTTACCTCGTATTCTAATTATTTACGTCATCTTCTTGTATTTACTTTGAAACCCCATTGTTGACATATTACATCTTTTTAATTCATGTTATTTTAATAACATTTATTTGAACCTCCAATGGCTCATCACATTATACTGAATTTTCAACTTCATTAAAATAAATTCATTCCATTATTATGCATTTCTGTACTTAATGTCTGTATTTCATTATTTTTCATAATTCATCACAAAACAGCAACAATATAATAAATCAATAAATATCAACTAATATTAAATGTATGCCGAACTAAGTTTTCAAATTCTTATCCCTTAAGACAGAGAAGCATACAATTATAAAATCAAAAAGCAAGTTACACAATCAAGATTTAAGCAGCATAATATTGGAGTTTTCAGCTGACTGCAGGCTTGACTACCCTGTATAATAAAGCGTCTGTAGTTTTGAAGAAGCTGATAGAGGGAGCCAAGGCAACAGTTTCTGAGAGTTAATTTTAGCAGTTTAACAACTGTTAGAAAGTTGGTTTGTTGAGTCAAATTATAGTTGTTTTTTTTATGTTTTATGGAGTGACTTCTCAGCACAGGCTTCCAGATTGTTGGAAAATTTTATGCAAGTTTGTGTTAAACAAGTTGTTCAGGATCTTGTACGTCTCAGTCATATCAACATATTACATCTTCACTTCGATGATGTGATGCCATGTGTTCTGTCCATGCCACAAAACAACAGCACAAAGCTTTCATTTCCATTACCAGCAACCACTCCCTGCATTTCACCCCTTATCATTCACCTAGCATGCACTGCACCTTCCTTTATCTCCAGTCAGCTCATCTGCACTCTGAAAGCCTGTAGTCCACAAGTGGATGGCAAGTAGTATCAACCCATGCCATATTCACTTTACTTCCCCGTTCACAGTCTCAACCAAAAAATGTTGCCTATGAGTGTTTATGACCCTGGCTTCCTCTCATTGAATTTTCTTCTTGCTATGAAGTTCGAGATAATGCTGCCCTTGTAAGTTCTCCTATCTTTGACAAGTAGATGCCCTTTTTATTTATTTTCAACTTCTCAATATAATCTTCAAGGTGAAAAACACTCCCTTCGGCAGAACTGCAGTTTTCAAGCAGACTTCTTTACTCCACAAAATTGTTTCTAGTAATCAAAATCGTTGCTTCAGCAGAGAACTTCTGAAATCTCAAGACTGTGAGTAAAATATAGTCACCGCATCTCCGATTGTGCAGCAATTACCTCCCCACCCTCTAGCTACAAGCTAGTTGGGTAAGCTATTGCTTTTCACTGCAGCTAAGTGACCTGTGAGCACCTGTCCAGAACCAAGATCCAGTTCTGATTGCAAAGCTGGACTGTGTGAGACACTCACATTCCCGAAATTGATCCAGCTGTGCTACGCAGAGGTTCACATTTCACATCCATTTGCACACACTATGCTTCACACCACGTGACCTGAATTACATGACAGGATACTGAATGATTACCATTCAGCCACCAATAAGAAAAACAGCATTTACAATATCTTTCATTGATATTAATTTTCACGTTCCTGTTTCATTGCAACTGCTTCAATTAATTTTTACCAACATATTTCAACAATTTTGATATTATTACATGATTAACAAACATAATCAATTTTTGTTTCATTTAACTTCTGAATTAATATCACATTCAATAAATTCTATGTGCAATGTCAACAATTTTAGCTACCACATATTTACTTCCGTCAACATTTTCTTTCCTCCAATTAGTATCATCATTCTCCCCCTCTAGGCCTCCATTCTAAAGCTGAGGATTAAATTATTTTGTACCTGAAAAGGTCTCTTATAGCTCAGTGCCCCAAACCTCTGTCCTTCGCTAGCCATTCACCTATCTCTGTACATTGTTCATACTCAAGGGAAGATCCCCTGGATCCAATGGAATACAAATACTCTTCCTTTGTAATTTTTTAAATAAGTAGATGTCCTTACTTCATTATCGTTTGGAATTTGGTAAATGCCAAATTTGACCCTCGGAAGAACACATATTTTATAATGAGACGAACTAAAGTATAGGCCTCAAGTCAAGAAAGAAAAAACAAGAAGAAAAAGAAAACATCAAATTCTAACAAAAGTATGTGCATGTTCAAGCTTAAACCTGGTGCGATGATGACGTCACTCGATGAGGGAAGAATGCATTAGGCACGCACAAGCCCACCAACGTGAAAATTAATGTAATGACTCAAAGAAATGAGAAATTGCTATTGACCGGACACGAAAAAAAGAGGGAAACGGGCAATGCAAGATCTCGCACCAACGGAAAAACAGAAGAGTCTTGAAACATCAGCACAGATATGGAGTTGAGAAGACTGCGGCACTGTTACGATAGAAAGAGGTTCATTTCGTGAAGTTATGATGTGTGCAGTTTTCGAAGAAAATAAAAACCACTGGAATCAGCCATTGTGGGGTATAAATCGTATGATAAATGATAGTTGTGGAACCACACATCAAACTGGAAACAGCACACAAGTTTCTCCTCACGCACTTGCATAGTAATGTCAAAGTGCTATATAACAATTCCAACCACTGCACTCCACGAACGGTGGAAAGAAGTGGTCACGCACGTCGCTTGGGAGTGGTGAGCCGAGCAGCGATGCTGTCCTAACAAAACGAGTTTGGCTGCTTCACAAGGGCTAGTCCAACCGCTGTGAAGTGAAGGGTCCTAAACCATACCCCTATCCTAATTCCTTCCCATTTCTGGCCACTGGGTAGTGACACAGGAGCGCGTTGTGGGAGGCGCATTCGCAGAGATGCTACTGGGCGGTCCTCATGACAACAGACTGCGACAAAGTTAATGTTAATGTCACTCAAGTGATGTTCTTGAAGATTTTCCTATTCCAATTTTAACACAAAAGCTCCAGGCCTAAAGGAAACCCTGGATCCAACTGATTCCCTCTGGAATTCCAACTCGCAATGGGGAGCTTTCTCAAATGCCTTGAGGAAAGTCAAGCACTCATATGTAAATAATATTGATCCCCAAGGTAAATGATGTTGGTTAGGGTATTACTGTCCACAGCCTAGCTCCAGCCCTCGAGTCAGGTAAGTAGATTGGTGGTAATTGATTAACCAGATTTGAAGCCATATTGATTTGAAGAGTTTCATTCAGCTGTAACAGCTAAAAGTGAAAATGTGATTGGCTAGCATTATCTCCGTGACTTTGCAGGTCAAGTTAGTGACAAGTGTTTTGTCCTGCAATTGCTGGATCTATTTCTGTTCCCTTTTTCAAGATAGCGGTAATATCAATGAACTTCCAAATAAGTTCATAACTCCCCAGAGCCTAATCACAAAAATTACTGTATAATGCAGGAGTAATTTCTGCAGAGAACTTTTAACACATTACAGGATTTTTCATCCGGTCCAGCAGATGATGGATCAAGGGTACAAAAGTTACTGATGACAGATGCTTAGAAATGAATCTCACTCAAGAATTCCTCAGAAACTGGCAGAACATTCTAGGTGAGCCTTGGCCGTGAACTCTCATTACCAGTTGACACAATTAATCCATTAATTCAAGCAACTAGTAGTCGTAAATTTGCATGTGTACGATACAAAGAATTGCAATTCTCCTTGATTCTCTCTCTGCCTTCACAGTGTCATTAACATATTTCCCACTGATCTTTATATGAGCTGGCTAAGGGACAACTCTGGTCATGTTCTCGTCATGCCTTTCCCTCTAGTCTCCTACCGCACCTCACTCTCATTTCATTCTGCTGGAGGGTTCTCTCTCCTGAGAGAACCTTTGAACCTACTGCATGGGAGTATGGCCCAGTGTGTCAGTATTTACTGTACCATTGTGCTGACAACTGAACAATTAAATGAATTTTTAACTGTATAGATTTATTAATAACTCATTTTGCTGAAATATTTATTTTTTTTATTCTCATGGGATTTTGTGGATCAATGAACACCTAATCTTCCTGCATGAGTAGCCAATACTCGGTCGAATTTTCTTGATTTGATTGGTTAGGTTGATTCCAGAACATCATTTCTGAAATCTGTACCTTTAAATGTTTAATTTGTTTTCTCCATTTCTATTATTTGCCCTTATTTTTCTCCATGAGGGTCTTAGTAGATGCTTGTTCACATACAATTCACTGTGAGTGAAATGTCTCAACAATGGTCAGCAATAAATTGTAAGTTGAATATACAGAGTTATGATGAAAAGTTAAAATAATCTTGTCAATATTAATATTGAGTACTAATAAATTCTCAAATGCACTATTATTATAGAACCTTATTTCTATAAATATTACTATGCTAAATAATTGACTTACCTATCCACTTCTTTAGGTGCAGAAGTTTGAATAGATATAGGGCTTGGTTTGGAAACTGAAACATCAGCAGATTGTAGAGATTGTGGTTCTGATGGACCTGCTTGTACCTGTGTCTGAAAATAACAAAGTGTGAAAATAAATAACATTGCAATGCAAGCATCGTGTCCCCAGTCACTACTACAAATCTAACATACATTTATAGACAAGTTACAAAATCAAAACTTTGAAAATAAATTTACAATAAACAAAATAATTCAACATAATGAGAAAAAGAAATTCATTCTTACCATAGTTTCCTTATTTTCTACTTTAGTAGTCCCTAAGACTGATTTTGTAAGAAAAAAATTTGTTATGGCATCCACATCCGGAAGATAAATAAATGGAGCAAGTTCTGGCAACTGCTCTTGAAGCAGGTGCACATCTCCCAACGTTAACTGCACAGGAAAAAACTCTTGTCAAAAAGATAATTGATTTTAAAAGTTCACCCATTAGGGAGAGGTTCAGAGACTTACTTTTGGAAGTTGAGCATCAAATGGAGAAGGGGCTTGAGTTGCAAATGGTGGAGGCATATCCTCCATACCAGGGAAGAGAGAATTGAGAAAATGTCCACTGAATTGGTTCTGGAAATCTCTTCGTCTAGCGACCTCTTCATTATGAACCCTCAAAAGTTGACACGCAAGATCACTGGCCCACTAAACATAAAATAAAAATTACATTAGCACTGTAACCAAAAAAAAATCTTAAAAAACAGAAAGAACAGAGCACTAATCTTATTTTTGCTTCGTTGCTGACATTTTCTGATCATGGTTTTAATTAATTTCACAATGAAGTTTAACGTTCATACAACCAGTATCATTTATATTAAACATTTTGAGACTAACATGTTTGGTTCACTCTATTTAATAAAGCAAAATTAAACCAATATCTCCTCAATAATTGATATTGTTATCATTAGTGATCTAATTTTTATGCATTTGCATATCTCTTCAGTTTAGTCATAGAAGTCTAGAATTTGATTTTCTAACAAAACTGGAGTCCTTGGATACTTATTTCTAAGTTTTATTTTGGTATACTGTATAAAATTGAATGGACATGCCTAATTACTTGTATATTGTACAATTAAAAATGCATAAAATTTTAATTTAAAGGACAATATTATTTCCCACATTTGGCTTGTTTCTTCTATTGACGAAAATATCTTAAGAGAATATCCTGTTATCCAGGTTATAACTTCTCTTAATTTCCCCCCCATCTTTTACTCTTGGAACACTACACAGGTACACTGAGTTGCAAAGGAACAATAACACGGCTAAGATAAAACAGCAGAACTGAGTGATGTTACAAAGCCTTTAATCCCAGCCCTGTCTCTGCTTAATAGTAAAAGGAGCCCACTCAAATTATATTCTTAAGACATCAATTTTAAGCAGCATTAAATTTGCACCTATCACTAGAGTGGTTGTGGAATATTCTTTTTCAAATTTAGTAGTGGCTCGTGTTTAGATTGCATGGTTTCACAACACACAGATAATTGAAAAACATTCTTACAATATGTTAGGAATATAGATTTTCCATTTAATGACCTTCAATATTCAAGATCGTGCAGCAATATTGTAAGCAAGTACATATATAAAATCAATTTGAAATCAGAGTGCCCATTGAGTGTTCTCTCCGGCCTCACGTTCGCTCCCACGCAGTGCACCATGTCTCGCGATTAAGCTTTTACCACAGTATACATATTTATACAGTAGCGCAGCTAAGTCTGATTTTGGGTAGTTACACGTGGATTTATTTAGAGCTGCGCTTGATGTAAATCAGATGTTACGCAGTGATAGTGCGGCGGCGATGGTGGACCGGACTTTTGTACCCAAGTTCGCGGGTTCAAACCCAATCGAAGCCGTGGATTTTTAAGGGCTACAAAATCCTTCGTATGCCTTCCTTCGGAGGGGAAGTAAAGCCGGCCGTCCCATGTTAGTAGATTAACTTGCATGTAAAAGATCAAGCCTAAATGACGCCTCTGAGCTAAATTCAAATCGCCTGTTTCTCGCCCAAGAAATACCTCCTTTCTCTGCTAGTTGATGAAAGGAGCGTAGCGAAATTTGCGTGGTCAGACGGAAGAGCGGGCCTAATGGCCCGAGTCTCGCCACGTAAAATAAGGCCAATTCAATTCAATTCAATTCAACAGTGGGCGAGCTAAATTTAAGGGTGTTGCAAAGGCAATGGTCATAAGGGGACGGGGAGTCTCTATCTCCAATATTTCCCGATTGATTAATGGGCACAATTATTAAAATTGTTTAAGAACATTTTACCTTAAATTCAAATATATTTTAAAATATTTGGATTCCTCACAGATAATTATAAATAAGTGTTAAATCGTAAACCCACTAATTAAGAAAGAAAGATACGAACAATTTTCCATTCCAAGAAGCTGATTATAAATATTTCTTGACCCGTGTGACAACGCGCCATATGCGCAAGGTGCGCTGCCGCTCCGAATCGGGCTGAGGTCAGCGTCAGATCCGGTGCCGGCGACAAGTCGGCCCACGCGGCACATCCGGCATATATTCCTTTCAAAGTACGCATCGACTGATAAGTGAATGTTGGGCGCCTTGGGCGACTGCCATTGCGCGGTGAAGAGGCGCGATGTCTACTATGCTACCGACTGTTGTGACCTGACCTGACCAGCGATTTTTTAAAGAAAATTAATATTTATAAAATCAATCTTGAAAAATAATGATTTCATTTCTCATTTATTGCTTTATATTAGTTTGAATTTTGACCCTTCTGAACGTAGTCTCCATGTTACAACAGTTTAATTACGCAACATTCGGCGCCAAACATTTATTATCAATTTTATCAATCTATCCAGAAATGAGGAAATAGTACCTTGTTTACTTGAATTCAAAATCGAATCGCATATTTTTCAGATGAACAAATTCCTGCATTACTAATTCATTGAAGTTAATGGTTTCACTTATTTGTTAATTCTCTACTAGTATTTAACAAGATTGCGAGGGTGCACAATCGCTCGGTTGTCATTATACTTGTACAAAATGTTTCATCCACATCAGTTGAAAATGATCGTTCAGCTTCTGAAGAAGTCATTGGAGTAGTGAAGAATTCTAAGACGTTTGCAGACTTCTGAAAAATTTCTTCCAACATTTCATTTTGCAGCATTACTTGAAATAATGGTTCATGTTCGATTTCTAAATTAGCTTCTCTTGTACCATCCTTGCAACAGTGCAACAGTATTGCATTTGCCGTTGATTTTTAAAGCACCGTCAATGGGACTAATAAAATCCACTAACCCTCGAAATATCCTAGGATTTTCCGATAGTTCACTTTTGTCGTACCCTCACAACGCAAGCTGCGCTTGCGCACCACAACCTTTGACATAGTTTAAAAGTGTCCATGTCTGCTCTTACGCCCTTTCATCGTTGTCCTTTTACAGGGAGACGATAACTGTCCAAATCACAATATTCAAGTAAAGATAGTTCAACATTACTTCCGTTTTATTGAGACGTGTTTCTTGATGTTTGTTAAGTTTCTCACTCAAATGGTTCTTGTCATTATAACCGGTCTTCGTTCACACGGTTTCCTCCTTGCTAAATAAGATGCAAGGAAAACAAAATGGTGCATTTTCCTCATACTCACCTAATCACTTGTATGTCGAATAAATATTAGCACTGATTCGTCGACGACGCTTTTGTTTTGCCGATTTCACAGTTGTTTTAATTTTTAGAACCGGCCGATCCGGACCAAGCTTCTTGATTGAAATAATTGAACACCAGGATGCAGTCACTAAAACTAAAGCATTATTCAAACTTGAGATGTAAAACACATTTATACTCTGATTTAAAGTCGCCTCTCACCATCCAAATCACTTCGGAGTATCGTATCGGGGACGCTTTTACTGACGGTGCGAGAGACTTCCTTTCGGAGTTGGGTGTCGCGATAGCCAGAAAAGTGACGAGTTCACGACGTAAGATTCGATGAGAGCGCCCATGAGAAGCACAGAAGCGACGTCACGTGGTACCCAATGGTCCTTATGGAACAAGGTCTGAGCGATATGTTTCGAAAACATGAACACAAATCTAGCGGCATCGGTTCGTCAAGTAATACCGGTATGGGAATTGTAAAAAGGGCAGAAAAAAGTCATTCTATTAATGAGATTGTAATAACGAAGTGTATACTCTATTTTGTTCACATTTTTGGGTGTTGTGTGAACCGGTGAACATTAATAAGAACCGCCCCTGACGTTGCGGCGTCATCTAACTGGAAAGTTGACGTCACCATAGTGAGTTTTCGCTCCCGATTGGTTGAGATATCGGTTATCATCCAAAAGGACTTGTCGACTCACTCCACGTATCTCACTCCATGTAAGCGCTCAACGCCCAACAGGGGTTCAAGAGAAGAGTCAACGACGTGGCAACACATTTTTTTTTAATGTATCCCTCCACTAAGAGCCAACTGTCAACGCTCCTCTGTCACCGCTGTCGGCGATCTCGAATTCATCCACACTTTGCACAATACGCTACAATCGCAATGTGCAAGACATGCAAGTCACACAAGAGAAACTGAGATATTGCGCGCGGCGATGGTGTAACGGTTAGCATATCGGACTGTTATACCCAAGTTGGGGTTTCAAACCCAATCGTGGATTTTTAAGGGCGAAAAAATCCTTCGTACGCCTTCCTTCGGAGGGGAAGTAAAGCCGGCTGGCCCATGTTAGTAGATTTACTTGCATGTAAAAGATCCTCAAGCCTAAATGACGCCTCTGAGCTAAATTCAGAAATCGTCTGTTTCTCGCCCAAGAAATACCTCCTTTCTCTGTTAGTTTATTAAAGGAGCGTAGCGAAATTTGCGTGGTCAGACGGAAGAGCAGGCCCCATGGCCTGAGTCTCGCCACTTAAAATAAGGCATTAATTTAATTCAAACGGACGATTGCTTGATAATTCGAGACAGTCATCGTAGCACTCGTAAGGATAATAGTGCATTCAATCTGGATCCTATTTCTAAAGTTATTATTGTCGGTAAGATGACGCGAAACCTTTGCCCACCTACAAAACGCGAGCAGGTCATCACACAGATCGTTCATTCTGAATCTGACAAAGGCTCTTCTAGCAAGTTCTTCTTGCGTAATGAATTGAATATTTTTGATATAAGCTTAAAACAACAGTTGTTTCGCCACGTCATTCTGTCAGCTTTTCTCGCAAATGTTTTACAATTTCAGACGACGGATGATTGTTCAGTCAAGGCAATTTTACGAAAAATGTACTACATAAAATACACTCAATAGCCATGTCACGTACACAATCACTTGCCCACAATTTTAAACAACTGATCTTGACGCTGCAATGCTTGGCCTTACAAATTGTTCAAAACTTCTGCTTTTGTGCTTCTGCTACTGTGTTTTTAATGCGTTTACTCTTTGGCCGCAATATCTTTTGCTTCAAGTGCTTCTCTATGTATACAGAGGGACGTACTTTAAACACAGCTCCACCGTTTGAACAAAAAGCCCCCGTTTTCACAGCGCAACGAATCACCGCCCTCAGAGCGAAGGGCATTGCGGCACAGTATAATACTGTGTTTTACTGTGATCGCGGAGAGAACACGGCGATATTTCCACGGCGGCGCGCTGTCCGTGGAAATATCAGTATTTTGTCTTTGTCAGACACTAACTGTAACTTGATTTTAGGAATTTCGCGGGTTATTGGAAGTCCAAGTTAAGTCAATTATTGACTGTAATGACTGCATTATTTATATTTGGGGAATTTATTTTCCATTTTATGTTAGGTTTGATTCCAAATGTACATTTGGTAAGTCTAAGTTGGCTGTTCTGAGAGGAAGCCCATCTTCTGCTCACGGTGTATACAAATATCTTTCCGGCAGTAACAGCGGTTATTCTCCAAGCGGCCGTCACTTTCTGAACAATAAACTATTCGTACATTTCTTTTTCCAAAATGAATATTCCCCGATCGATCTGGCCCCTCGTAAAGCTCTGCAATTTTGAAACACATTCTTTAAATTTTGGGAGTTCTTTACAAGGTCTCTGGGATATTTTCAAAATTTTCTCAAAAATGACTCCAGATATTTTCTTCAAATTTTCAGTACGAATATTTTCGTTGAACTGCTTGAATTTTCAGAAAAGGCAAGGTAAGAGTTCTCCATTCTTTCTTTTGGAACAAAGGAAAGATGGGGTATAGGAAAATGAGCTCGCCATCTTTTCTTAGTGGGAGACCAATTCCTCCGTTGTTACATCTGGAAATGTTTGCAGTTGCCCATCACTAAAAGCTCGGCACTGCCGATAATGGGAGAAATTCCGTGGGTTTTTCGTAGTTTTATCCGAAGGCATTCGGATGGGTGTAACCCGTAGGAGAAGATAAAAGCGATTTTGCTTTCGCGCATGGCTCTTCTCGCTTGGGCTCTCGACCGTTTAAATTCGACGAGTTTTTTTAATCTCATTCGCACAATCTGAGTTCCACAATGGTATTAGGTGACATCTCAGTCCACCAGTACATCTAGGAATGCCAAGTTGTGGCAGCGGCGATTACATAGGTGAAATGGGAGGTCAGTGTGTCGATATTCTGAAAAGGCCCATCAGTTAGGCAGAGAGACCCCTCAAACCCCAGCCAGTCCGCTCGCAAGCCCCCTCCATCTAGTGAGGGGGTCGAACAGGAAATGGAACGAAAAAATTGATATGATATCACTCCCATTTAAATCACGGACAGTCCTGTCCAGGATTGCGTCCAAGGGATGTGGCTTCATCTAAACATGAGACGGTTGAAAAACGGGTGTGGAGACCTGTGATCAACAGATAGATATTGTAATTCTCTAAGGCTGTTTCCTCAATTGTTCCCCTCTGACAAGTTTGCGAGGAGCCCCGTAGAATATTGTGGGCGTTGAAGTCTCCAATCATGGAGAAAAGTTGTGGTAATTAAGAGATAACATTTACGTTATCCTCCGAAACTGCTTGACGGGGCGGAACGTAAATATTACGAACTGTGGAGAGGGATGGAATGTCGACACGCACACATACGATTTGGAGACTGGACTACACTGTGATTTCTTGACAAAAGAAATGGCCGCGGACCAACAAGACGACCGCCATGGGCACGGGAACCATCAACTGCATCGGGTACCAAACCATAAAAAAACTCTGAGTGATAGATTATGTCTGTGAAATATCTGATTCCTACAAAAACACAATAGAGGGGAATAACGGGATAGCATTAATAGAATGTCTTTCAAATGAGAACGCAAACAATGTAGATTCCATGATAGGATAGCTATTAGGGTGTCTAAAATTTTGTGTGCCTTTTTCTACGGTCGCCATCGTTGACCATCCAGGATGCCAAGGAGGACGGTACCACGGAAGCCGCTTCTGCAGCAGAATCTTCATGGTCACTGCTAGAGCAGTCCGGGGACCCATGCACTAGACCCTCTCCCATTTGTGCCAGTGATCCGGTCTTGGTTGTAGTCTAGCAAGTGGTCCAATGAATAACGGTCGACTTCTAACACAAGTTTAGGAGTAGATTGCCAAACACCTGTCTAATGCGGGAACCTCCCTTCGCCGGAAAATCTCAGAACGGACTGTTTTCCATTGCACAGTACACTGGAGAAGCCGGAAACCTGTCTAACACGGAAACGGAAAGGATTTTTTGGTACGACCAGATGGCGAAAACGTGACCAAAACCTCAAATGACTTCGAATTACCAAGTTGTTCTTATAGAGTTTCGAAGTGGCCGATATCAAATCATCGAAAAATCTGATATCAAAATTACGCAAAACAACTTGGCGGATCCAAAATAGCGACCGAAAATGTAAAAATATATTTAGGGTTCTGATGTACACAATACACACGCACATATGAAATTATTTTTATGTGCTTTATAAAACAGCAACGACTAGCTCAAAATATTGGCTAGATTTACAACATATTACAATCCTCTATTCGATGACATGAGTTGTAAATCGTTATGTGCACTCCTCATTAGCACGGGATCCCGTGAACAGAACGCTTCGTATATTTCAGTAATGCAATAATATTTTCTTGCAATGCAATGCGGCGCCGTCTCCTTACTCAAACGTGCAAACGGGATTGCGGCCCTTCTAACTCCTCTCAAACCAAATTCCGCGTCGTGAAAATCGCCGAATTTTACCGTTCCATTGCTTTGGAAACTAATTGGGTCAAAATATATTCAGGTACAGATATTCTATGTTACAAAGCACGTTAAAGCCGGCGTACGCATAAAAAGAGTTTGAGTTATGTTATTGATTTCACCAAATTATTCTTAATAAATCATAACATGTTTATAATGACAGTCTGGTGATTCTGCCATGTGAGTCAGGGAATTGGGGTAGGTGAGCCAAAGCACATGGGCACTAAAGCTGTAAATTCGAAATCCACATAAAACTATGTTTTCAGTTGGGTTTGTTATAATTTATCAATAGTGGTTGAAGCAGTCGATACACAATAAACTGGACATATAAGTAACTAACTTTTGGAAAATTTAAGATCTTACAGTTCTTCCATGACACCAAATGTCTTTCTTGCCACAATGTTCATGGCCTTTGCTTCTTTAATAATCTTCTTCGTCTGCTGCTTCATGGATTTAAGCCTCAAAGCCAGTTTCAACATCCAGAGAATAAGCAACTCCATCTTGTTAACAGGCAAGTAATATTCCTTCTTCCTTTAGTACATTATTGTGTGTGTTCAATTCAGAACCTTTTCATGATGCCAGTTGCTCTCTAATGCTTGAATTTTGTCAATAAGATTTAATATATACGGTTCAGTTCTGATAATATCATTATAGATATTGAAACCTGCTACTAAACGAAAAATTTTCATTTCAAAATTGTTTATTTTTCCTTCAGTCTCTAATAAGTTTTGGCATGCATATGACAGCATGGGTGCTGCCATCGCATCTTTAAATTATATGAATCATTATTTTGAAATCTGCATTATTAAAGAATTGTATCACTGAATTGTGAACTGCGAACTTTTAGATCGCCATACCTCAACAAAAGGTCTGTCGGTGTTTCCATTCATTTTCAAATTGCAGTTCACTCAGTACAAACAGTGTCATTTCTTTGAGAATCATTCTTCACTAGTTTAAAAATGTTGGTCTGAACCATTCGACACTTTTGCAGGAGATATCAAGAAAACATTCATGAATATAATTAGGTATTACAGATAGATGTCAACGGTAAAGAATAATCATAACAAGCTATTTAGAAAAAAAACTAATTTCATGTTAGTACAAATATAATAATTAATTTCCTCCATGGATAAATCCCTTCAATGAGGTAGCAAGTTCCATTTAAATTAACGAGCACAATACTGAAAATGTAGAACTTAATAAAATCCAATTTAGAAAAATAATGTCTTTGTTTTTATAAAACTTAGTGATGTTCATAAGTTTGCCTACCATTGTCATTTGGTCAACCAAGGTCATATCGAATATGGATGAAGCTGAATAAATTTAAGCTTTTGAAAACTTTGGAAACAAGAAATATTTTAAATAATACTTACTGACAAATAAGCTTCAGAAAATGAGCGCCGCCGAACCACTTCACACACAGCTTTCAGGTACATCTCAGGTGACACGTGCACTTGTCGTATCACATCCAATGTACGACGAAGTCGTTTTGTGTTCTCCAGATAGGCCATCAATTTATTACTCGATTCAAACATACCATTCTCAGAAAAGACAACCCATCGAAGCCTTTGAAAGAGGTTATTACACAACTCCTCTTTGGCTCTAGTGCAGCGACGACGAATGTCCATCAAACGGTGTTGATTATCCGACATCACCTTCAGCTGCCGTTGATGGGAAGCACAAAGATCAGGAAAGATAGAAGGGTCCTTCAGGTTGCTCACACGTTTCTGATTTTGTTGAAATGACTGTAAAACAAAGAGGATTCAATGAAGAGAGAATGGTGGCAAGAAATTAAACTGAAGGTAATCAATACACTTTTGCTGAAATGTTTGCCACAAAAAAATGAGATTAACAGAAAACAGTCTTGGATCCAGCTAATCAAAAATTTCCATTACTTTTTATAACAAAAGTACATCTATTCTGTTTACTCATTTCCACCATTCTCAAAGAGTCCTCATGTAGAGTGACCCAGCTAAAGTGAAGTCATGGTGATTACCAAGTCTATCAACAAATGAAATTCTCCAACATTTCTAGGAAATACTAAAACCCTTGACTCTCTAACTGGTGGCGTAAGTGAAAGGTTCTCCAATTTTTGTGATTTGCTGTGATTATGGATAAATCCTCATACTAATTAAAATTTTAAACTTTCTGTCAAAAAATTCCAAGCATACTATTAGTAGTAGAAGTACAAAACTAAGAAAGGAACAAAATATAGAATTGTGGATCCAACAAGTACCGTAGGGTCAAACGGAAATCTAAAAATGTACTTAATTCACTTACCATTGCCATATCTTTCTGTTCCTGAACAATTCTCCGAGCTTCATACATAAGCTGTTCTAATCCGTACAAACGTTCCTCTAAACCTTTGATTTCTTTCAGCTCTTGTTTTGTAACAGCTTCCATGACATTTTCTGCATCCAGCTTTAATTCTTCAAATGATGCAGTATGGATCTGAAAATACACATAGCATAAATAGCTTGAGGACAGCAATTTTACCTTCCTTCTGAGGATTTTTCAAAAATATATTTTTTCACTAGCCAGAAGTATCAACAATGAAGCATTTGTTCAACAGAAACCGATCTATTAATCTTTAAAGAGGTGAAATAAAAAAAAAACACCTGATGAAAAACAATCAGGGATACTAAAAACTTACTAATTACCCCACATTAAAAACTTACTAATTACCCACATTAAAAACTTACTAATTATTAATGAAATTTGGTTCTTTAATATTACTGAAATTATATTAGATCAAAAAAATATTTATGACGTTTTCAAAGCCATTACTTTGCACTGAATCACAGAAAAATCATACAAATAGAAACAAAACAAAACTTCTGTAGAATAAATCACTTTCAAAAATCACAAATGAACTAATGAGACAAATAAACAAATACTACTTACTACATTAAGTACATTATGATTAAGAATTTGGACATGAAGATGAGGCCATGAGGACAAAGGAAGTATGAAAATCATTATTGTGAACCAATCTACATGCTTGTACTAGTCTTAAACCTTGTTGAATTTGTAATTTGAAAATAAAATATTTTGAAGTCTTAAAATAGGCTATGTAAATACTTTTCATAAATTCCTTCTATATTTCAGCCATGCAGTATAAGGACTAGTATTTAAATCAAATGAAAACAAAACAAACAATTAAGGATGATGTAGAAATAAATAAAACTGTAATCAACACTTGCAGAAAAATGACAAAAATATTAAAATAATGTATGGAACAATATATCAATGTTCCTCTGCACATGGAAGGTTTTCGAATCAATAATCCATATTTTAAAGCAATCCAAAAAACTATTGCTTATTCTAGCAATTACCTGATTTAAGATTCGTGTGCATAGTTCTGCAATTCCCTCAATACTAAATTTCCTATCTTTGGTATCAATCCACTGTAGAAGACTCTTAGAAATGCCTGACACAGGTTCAGAGCTGCCTCCATTACCACTTTCAACCTGAGTTTCTGATGGCTTAACAGGGTCTTCTTGTCCTTCCCCACTGCTTTCAGCTGAGCCACATTTAGGATCCGTTTCTCTTTGAAGAGATCCTTCCTTACTACTGCGACCAGAGCTGGCACAAGACAGTGTTAAATCTGCCCAGTCTTCCAGAAGGGCAGGGATCATAGGTATCTTTGATAACACTGCCACATCTTGCTTGTAACTAAACAAAAAAATGCAATTTATTAATAAAAATATCTTTCCTAAATTAAAAATGTAACAAAATTTCTGGTGCTCTCTTTTCTTTATAACTTGTTGATTCATTTTCCAATTAAAGGACATTTTAAACACAATGTCAAAAAAAAATCCTACAACTCAAAATGTTAGAAATAACTTGCAGAGAATTAATGAAAAATTGATTTTATTCCCAATACTTCTCAAAACTGAATAGTTTTATAAAGAAGCATACTTCTCTACAAGCTCCACTGATTCATTTCTTGTCAGCAAGAATTGACTAACAGTCATTTTTACATTTTCACATACACTGCGATAATTTGTTGTAATGTCTTCCATGTTTGCCATCACTGCTGCCCAACCTGGAACATACAAATCCAAAATCACTGACAAATCTACCAACAATTACATATTTCAACATAATAAAAAAATTAGAGTTCTTTAACCTCTTAATCAGGCATCAAGAAATAACTCATATTGAGAATTTTCTTTGTTTGCTGTAGCTTGAGTTTGCTTGTCTTCTTCTTGTTTGAAAATTCAGCTGCATTGGGTGTTTGTGTACGGGTCGATATAAACATGATAAATTCAGATCACCTTTATATGTTATTGTAACAGGCAGGACAAGATAAGACATCAATGCATCACTATCAGGCAAAAGTAGATGGCTCACCCTAGCACTATTGTTGTGGACATGGGCAATTAATTTTTTAACATATGAAAGTGACTTTAGGCTATAATTCCTAGTTGACAACTTAAAAATTATATTGTCTCTCATGCAATAATAAAAATAAAAAAACTTAAATCCATATACATATTGTTTCACCATCACAAATCCTCTCCACATGTAATATGCTTAGGAAAAATAACATGCTTTGTACCATTATTAAGACCCCATTGACTGTTGAAGAGGTGCTACTGTTGAAGAGGAAATTAGTCACCAGTCCAGCAGCAAACAGTATGAAGAGAGAACAAAAGAATGGTAAATCATACAAGAAAAAGAGCATGGGACATATGCAAACCATATCCTATTTTGCAACACACATTGTCACCCTGCATAACATGAAAACAATGCTTCAAAGATGTTGAAGTGATGTATCACCAATGCAGACAGGCAAGCAGATGGACTGATGGGTGGATGACAAAATCCGACGACAAATTCTTAAATGCAACAGCAAAGAATATTGAAATAATCAAGGATTTGGAGTTTGAAGGTACTGAAACAACTTGGATAGAGCTAGAATCTATATTCGATTCTGCAGGCTCTTATGGCATTCCAATAGTATATCTGAAAAACTGCATGAATTCACTAGTTCCAATACTAAATACCGTGTTTAGACTGACTGTCTATGATATTCTGAAAGTCTCATTTCACAAAGTCACATATGTTTTCATATACACAGTACGATCAAGTGAGTCAGTCTTGCGAGACAGGGGCATGGAGATGGGGTGTTCAAGTAGGCAGACACAAAGGCAGGATTGTCCAACTGGCAAACTGTGACTGGCGACGTGCAGTCCACGATGCCATTTAGGCACCATGGATGTGCCCCTGAAAGGTTATTGGTCAAAAAGGGAAAATCCCATGCAACAGTGCCTCTAGCGCCCCTGCTGGGGTCAAATTGGTGACATTTAGATCTAAGGTTTATCTAGGTTTAGATCTAGGTTTTAATCACATTTTTTACGTAATTTTCCTTTGCTTTTTGAGAATTTAATTGATAATTTTTAGTGATATTTTAGGTCATCAAAATCCGCCTCTACTCACTTATATGTTCAAGAATGAGATGAGCTAAGGGGTTACATTGGCATAATGTTGGGGAGAACAAGGGGCCTCTTGACTGAAAATTGTCCCCAGAAGAATGGTATCTACGGCAAGAGACACTGATAGGTTTTTAAGGAGCTGATAGATGGCAATACCGAAAAGCTAGCCCAGACTCCACAGAATATGAAAATACCTTAGCACAAAAAAGACTGAACAATTCTGTGGCTCTACTAGTTTTAAATGAAATTTTAAGAAAATTCCTACTTTGATAACAATAATGCAGAATTTAAAAAAAAGACTTCAAACATTTATTTTATGTTAAGTAACACTGATCAATTTATTAAAGTTTGCTTTCAGTGGCAAACATTACAAATACAATAAAGTTGATAAATCTAATATCTAAATATCTATAAATGCACATTTTGTCCACAGTTTTCTTTGACGTGTACATTATCTACAACATCACTCCACAGTAATTCATTTTTTTTTTATTTTAAAAATACTTATCCAAAATTCAACTGGACATTACAAAACTCCACCATATTAGTATTACTATAAGCAATATTAACTATACAAATAACAACAAAATAATAATAATAATAATAATAATAATAATAATAATAGTAATAATAGTAGTAGTAATAATAATAATAGTAAAAATAATAATAATAATAATAGTAAAAATAACAATAATAATAATAATGTACTGAATTTGAACTACTGTTTTTCGGGATACAAATTACAAAGTGAAGCACCCTCCAAGATTTTTTGGCTTCTTTGCTAAAGTGAACCAACCACCAACCAACACAAGGACCAAAGGACCTTGTGTCGGTTGGTTCACTTCACATCACAGAACCAATTCCAGTTACTTTCAATTTTTTGACATGTATAACATTAGTTCCTAACTTATGTTAGACATCATTTGAGCAAGAATTAGTAAAGCAAATGGATTAACACTTTTCAAGATTTAATTCCATCTTCTACTCCACACTCAGTTCTATAAAAAGTTTAGTTCATTCAGTAAAATTTATTCATCCTCAAAGGAGCCAATGCTTCTATATAATATGCAATCATAGAAAAAGCATGCATTTTAGATTTGATTCCAATAGCAATATTGTTCACGAAAGCCAAGAACAGCAGTGGCCCTAAGCCACTCTCCTGGGAAACCCTAGAAGACACATTGGCTTTGGACAATTATTATTACTGAGGGCGGATTTGATTACCCAAAACATTGCCAAAAATTATCAATAAAATGATCTAAAAGCTCAGAAAAATGATGTAAAATTTTGATCAAAATCTCTGCTTTTATTTAAACCAAACTCGACCGAACAGACAATGGCACCGATCAATGTCTTAGGAACCTTAGATTACTTAGTACTCATAACGGCTAACACATGAGAGAAGAAATCAGATAGGCTCAGGAATTCTGTGGTGATCATTTGTTGCTTCTCGTAAATATTGTTTGAAGCAAGTACCATTAAAATAATATTAAAATCGACGAAATCAGCAAAAAATGCAGTAAAAAGGTAAAAAATGAACTATAAGTCGAAATCAACAAAAAATGCAAAAAATGCCATATAAAAAAAGGCCAATTCGTTTCGTCATAACATAAAGTGAATTTCTATATGAAATGGCAGTGTTCTAAAGGGAAAAGAAAAAAATGACATTTCATTAAAATCCACCTCCACCCCCTAGTTATTACCTACTCTGAATGCTCCAGTGTGCCCTGTAAGAAATTCTTTCATCCATTAAGATTACCATTCTATGGCCCACTCTATATTCAATGAATGCTCACAAATAAATACATTCTATGAAAACATGAAACGTTTTACAGATAATTCTCTATTTTAACAAAATATGCTAAAAATGCTCCTAAAATTACACGAATATGCACGAACAGGAAAAATCAGCCAAATATGCACTAACATATTAATTTTACAAAGCATCAAATTTTAACCAAATGTAATGAAATTTCACTTAGCTATGCCCTGGGCCAACAGAGAAAAATATGGAAAAAAAAGAAAATGGAAATCAACTCCCTAGTGATGATCATTAATCGTGCAAAGCATGTATCGTTGCTTACACGACGAATGAAGTAAAAGTACTGCAAGAAAAGAAATCTTTCTTTTTGCTTATGTTTAATGAATTGATGTCTACACATTGGCTCAAAAATCTTTTTAAGCTCACACATACAACTTTGCAAACAATCATTAAAAACACACTGGTGGGTTTTATATTTGAGTTTGTGAGTTTTTGAATGGCTGTGAATCTGTGTGCTTTTAATTTCCCTCATACAAATTACTTTGGTTTTAATTGGTTAACTGCAGTACATTAAAAAAGACATAAAATAAAAAATATAGTCTTCATAACAGAAACCTGGAACTTAATGGAATAAAGTATGGAGCTATATTCATGAGTGGACTATTCATTATTATTTTGAAGCATGGAAATTAAAATGATTCAATATACATGGAGTTTTCGAAAAGTATTCCACTACATGCTAAAGCAGTTCAACGCACAAAGGTTTCAATTCAACAACCTACACTATGTGATCAAATGTATCCAGGCATGTCCAAAATGGTACTATGGTGTGATGTTTTTCATGGAGGGGGCTTCCACCCCTTGTTGTTTTGTATGGGACTATAATGGCAAAGACCTACATTGCTGTTTTAAACATCATATTGCTTCCCAGTGCTGAAGAACAATTCGGGGAAGGTAACATGATCTGTCAACACAATCGAGCACATGTTTATACTGCACGGCCTGTGGCAGAGTGCTCACACGATAATAACATCTCTGTAATTGACTGGCCTGCACAGAGTCCTGACTCGACTCCTATCTAATACCTTTGGGATGTTTTGGAATGCTGACTATGTGATACTACGGCCTCAACGACCTACATCGATACCTCTCCCCAGAAAAACTCTCTGTGAAGAATGCGCTGGCGTTCCTCATGAAACCTTTCAGCACTCATTTGAAAGTATGCCTGTGAGAGTGGAAACTGTCATCAAGGTTAAGGATGGGCCAACACCGTATTAAATTACAGCATCACCGATGGAGGGCGTCATGAAGTGGTAAGTCATTTTCAGCCACATGTCCAGACACTTTTGATCACATTGTGTATCTCTCTAATGAGATAGAAGAGAGCAGATTTTGATTTAGCATGGGCTGAATGTTTTTCGAAACCACCATTAGCTGGCATTCAGAAATGAACTTTTAGTATATAATTTAGGAGATATGCAACAGAAGATATAGGTACTCAAAATTTTAGAATGATTAATGAACTTTCCCCTATGAAAATAAGATTTTTATTTCCCCCCCCCACCATAAAAATGTTTTCAAATCCAGACACAAAAGGGGCCTCAAATAGAAGGGGACAAATGCCAAAATCCAAGGAACATCCCCAAAAAACTAGAGACGAATGGTCAACCTACTAATAATAAACTTAATATGTATGCATTTTGAGAGTACAATTTTGATAATATGCACTAAAACATGCCCTTTAAAGTAACCTTCATACCATGACTAGGGACCTTTCTCTTTCCCTTTTTTGGAAGGATATTTTGAAAGATTTTTTGAACATTTTTCTGAAAGCCTGCAACAAATTCTTGAATGCCTGCAAATAAAAAAAAACAAAAAAAAATCTAAAACAACTGAAAATAATCTGAAAGAACAAAAGTGGCATGTAGGTCAACTGAACAATAAAAAATATCACAGCACCTCCCAGATAGTACAATTCAATTATCTACAACACTACAAGAACATCTGAAAATTGTTAATAAAGTAAAGTCTCACAACCTAACAACATATACATTACAAGAAAGGAATGACAGAAAAATTTCTCATTCATAATCACATTTTTTAAAAGCACTGTTGTAATGTAAAAACCTGTTTCGTATACGAGAATACAATTTAATTTTCCCACACTTACTTTGCTTCTCATTAATCAAGTATCAGTCTCAATGTCTTGCGATTTTAAAGAAAAATCTTTGTGTTTCTTTGTTTTTTAACTTTTTAAAATGGATTTTAAAAATTTTTTTGAATTTTTGTGCAATATTATTCTCTCTGAAACACCAATTCATGAAATTTCAGACATTCAGACTTATTACACATAAAAAAAGCTTTCTTTTAATAATATTTCTTAAAATTTCAATTTTTGCTTTTTTTGAGTTACAATGGATTTCCAAAATAGTGTTGCTATGAAAAAGAATAAGAGAATCTGCAATAAATTGTGGATTCTAAAATTTCAAAAAAGTACAGTAACCCATGATATCAAACAGAAACGGATACAACCTACAAAAAGTAAAGTTCTTTGCCAACTTAAAACCAATTAAGATAAGACTGGTATCATTGCTACTTCTTTGTTTGCTTTGATGTTTTGCATTGTTTCATCTATCTACACAATCATAATTTTAATAATATTATCAGTCACAACTCCACAATATTTATTCATCCTATTGAAGCCACAGCTTCTATACATTGAAAGATTTATTAGATTTATTAAGAAGTATTATTTTTTTAATAAGAATCAAAGTAACAATGTTTTACTTCTACGATCATTTACTTCCACCTGTGTGGCAATATATAAATATGAGACAGTTTGACAGGTAACTACAACACAAAAATGCCACACAACAATTTAACCCTCTGCGCTTCGTATGCCATGCGCTCTAAGTCCCCAAGACCTCTAAATTCTGCAAGCTGACCACGGAAGCTCAGTTGCCTGAATTAACGATGCGATTGAGGTTTGGTACATCATTAATATGTTTAATTTTTAAAAAATGCTCAATGCTTTGAGTTTCTTTATTTTTAACGATGTTGTATGTTTAAATTTTTCTTCTATGTTTGATATCTTTTATAGCATTTTTCTAATTGCAATGTTGGCTGCATGGAACATGTTTCACAGAAAAATTCAGTTCCTTTCCTGCCTCCTTTCTTCTTTCTGTCTGAACTCACAGCACAGTCCTTATGCTGGTTTTCTGGAAATTTCTTTATTAGGGGTAATTTTCCATTAAGGCGATCTTCATCATCAGAAGTTGATCAGAGGGCCCATTTCTCACTTTCCCTTCGCTCTTCCCACCAAGTCTCTTATCACACTTTTGCACTTGTGTGAAGGGAAATTTAAATTGTTGGTGTTGAAATAATATTTGTACAATAGATAACTGTTATATCTGTCATTATCAGATGGAAAAGACAGCATGTTGGTAAGACGCATTAGGAAGCGTGAAATCAACAGAAAAGCCATATTGAATGGGACTTGACATTGGAGCGGAAAACAAAACTCTATGTCGAGTCCCACTCGATATAGGAGAGCAAAAGGGTCATTGTTTTTCAACAACATAGTCACTTTACAAGGATAAGTACTTCTTTGAAAGTGTAGATTACTTCCCCACCAATGCCAGATTCGATGGAAGTTAAAAGTAAATTTCAATTTCATTAACAGAAAATGTTGGAAGTTTTTACTGTGAAATGCAGCTGCCTCACGCAACACTTCACACACTAATTCATTTCAGATCTTAACTAAAACCAAAAGGAAACAATGGTTGTATGTAAACTTTCTGAGTGAAGCAGCTTGCCATAAAAAATCAGCCGGAAAGAAATTACCCCTAACATCAGGAAAACCAAGATATTTAAATATTTGAAAATTATGGCAATGTTATCCTGTCTCATAGTTCGGAAAAGAAAGATTTTAGAGAAGCTATCTTTGTTAAGATGGTATAGATTTAGATTAACTTGGAGGTGAGTTTTCAAATGTTGCTGATCATACTTTCTCGCAACCTTTTTACAAATATCAATTATTATACTAAGAGTGAAATTCTGGAGCTCCAAAAATAGATTATATTTCTCCCCCATACATCACAAACTGTTTTCCCATGCATCACAAATAAATCGTGTGCTGAGATTGGCTTATGCAATTCCTTGATACGGAGCTAAAGAGAAAAGACAAGCATCATGTATATGCTGAGAAAAACTTGCAGTTGCTGGAATTGCAGCATTGACATGTACCGAGGAGGAAATAAATGTAACCCAACTCCACTAATGCCAATAATTCGGTCAATTTCAAACTGAAATGCCCTGCAATATTCCTTGGGAGCAGACAAAAAATTAGAAAAATTTCTTAATTATATTTTAAAATTAAAGAAAAAAGTATTTTGTGATAATTAACATTGTAATATAAACGTAATAAATAATGTCAATTCAACAAACTGTGTCATGGCTCATCCCAGACAGCCAAGTACCAAATTCAAATCACAAATTTAATACAGAAGTTTCAGCAGGGCTTTTAACGTTGAATTCATGAAAGAGGGCAGAGAGCAAAATGAAAAACACGCTTCTTTTTTTCCTTTCGCAGATCAATCGCATCCAGATTAGATTTTAATGTGCTAACATTGAGGTTTTTGTTCAAGTCATTGGTGAATTGAAAGAAAAGATAAAGAACAAACAAGCTGAATTGTGTAATCGCTTTATTCCAAAGTCTTTCCAAAAATGAAGTTGTGATGATGGTAACAGGGTAATTGTACAATTTTGAGAAGACTTCACAGAGACTTTTTTGGAAGAGAAAAAGATCAAGCAGATGTGAAGAAAATGAAATCTCTAATGAATGAGCTGAGTAATACACATAAGACCCACATAACACAGTGTTACAAAACTTGTGTTAATAAAACTTACCTTGCTGCATTAAATGTTGATCATGTACCAGTTGCTCACACACACGAGTCTGCTCTCGGGCCATATCATAAAACTGTTGAGCCAACTGAGTGCGCACCACCACACTGGTATAGTTGGGTTCCATGCTATCTGAGGCCTCTACTTGCTCTTTGAGATCTTGATCTGGCAAAAAATCTTTGGATGCATGAAATTACTATAACCTCAGTCAAGACATGAAAAATATCACCTCTCACTACCTGGATGCAATTTTTTCCAAAATTTCAAAACCCATTTTGAGTAGCTTGTGAATTTCCTGACAGTTGTTACTAAATTCCATTTGGGTTGTATTTTTCAGGTCATGACTTTCAGAAAAATAGTCTTAATAAAATAATTTAATATTTCATATAAAATAGCATATAAATTAAAAAAGCCAGCCAACAAAGCCCATTTGATTCCCAAGTAACCATTTCATTGGGTACTGGAAGCCCAATACCAGATAGTGAGGGGAAGCAAAACAATAAAAAAATCTAACTACTAATTATTTTAACTTCCCAAGCATGCAATGAGCTTTCATGCACAGCAACCAAAAGATATCAAGCAAATTTAAAGGCTTTATCTTCCCTACCTATTCCATAGTTGATGCTAGGCTGAGGAGGTGTGTCTGTGTTGATTTTGCTGAATAAGTAGATGGGGTTGGTGTCGGTGCCAGCTGAGTAGCTGCACACACGGGCTGCAGAATCAAGACTTTCCCCACCACTGACCAAAAGCACTTGTTTGTCTTGAGGAATCCGAGTGCATTTTTCGATGGCCTCTCCCAACTGGGCCACACTGTCAGAAGATCAAACAAATTTCATATTAAAATAACGTTGCATTATACTTCCAGTAGTTTTTTTTTTTTTAATACCATTGAAAGACTGCTGTTTTATAAATAAGTTCTACATCAATATTGTTCAAATAAATGTAAGTTTGGATGCTATATTTTCTTGGCTTGTTTTCATCCTCATAATTAGAAAATGTCTGTAAGACAACAAATCTATATTTTAACTAACAAGTTCTAATAAAAAATTATAATAAAATGTTATTTGTAACATGCTTACCTTTCAAGAGCATAGTTCATCTCAAATTGTAACATGGTTCCAGTATCTACATAAAACACGTACAACATCCTGCCAGGCGCACTTCCTCCCGAAGGAGGAATCGCTAAGAGCTAGGATTCAATGTTGTGCACTTCATAGGGAGTGCTGGTGATGGACAGTACAGTTGAAAAACATACCTAAACACAAAATAAAGCATCATAAATATTGGTATATCAAGTCAAATCATGTGTGATGACACATTCGTTATTTATTGCTCAAGATCCCAAAGTATAACATTATGAAAATTACATTTTCAAGACAAAATAGCAAGACAAAGATAACACAAAAACTTTCACATACTTAAGTTCATTGCATTTGTTCAATTTTTTAGGGATATCCCGAAATAACAATGATTTTTCTGCATTTATAACAAAAGATTACAAGTGTCAAATTGGTCTAGAAACAGTTCTAGAATGAATTCTACATCAGGCATTAACAAATAATGAAAGGTTGTACTTGGCAGGGCAGAATATCACATTAGCATTTCATATAAACCAGTTTATCTTGAAGTATTCTATCGATTTGTTTTTAATGGGCAAGAACACGGAGCGCAAAAAGCGCGACCCAACGGCCTCCCAAAAACTGATTAAACGAAAAACATTTTATTATTAATGCCGTTAAGCAAAAATAACATTCGTGTTTCGTCATTTCAATCTTCACGTAAAGGCTTTTATCGACTATAATATTAAGCGGAGTGTAAAATGTATCGTCGACGGGAATAGAATCGAAAAATAAATAATGTAAAAGACTTAATTCAAATCGTCAACTTGAAACACCGTAACATGATTAAAACATATAAACTAAATGCCAAAAATGCAATGACAAAATATACGTACATAACTAATGAGATCAGGTAAGATCGCAGTCACTAAACAAAACAACGAATCGCAGAACAAAGAAAATATCTTCGCGAATCTTTGTATTCATGTAACACATTGAGAAGCTGCTTCAGGATGCATAAAAACTTTACAAACTTCAATCATAACACTGATTATTACCACTTCAATGACTCTAACTCGTACAAACTCACCCTTTTCCAGCCACTTCGGCAGCCGTACCTCCATATTCCGAGCTGCCATTAGTGGCAGGTCCACAGCTGTTTACAGCTAGGTATGACGGAGAAGGGGAGAGCGAAATCGTACGAAAGATATTCCACTTCACAATGCAACTTCCCACAACACGCTACGCAAAATTCAGATTTTGCTGACTTCATTCGCTTGCTAAATTCGCTTCTGCTTTGTGGGAACAAGTCTTCACCGTGAATGTTTACAAATTTACGCAGTGAATAAACTGTAACGCTACTTCCTTCGTCATACGCTAAAGTGACCGGAAACAGCTGAACGTCTTTCAAACCCCGCGAATCTTGCGATCATGGACCAACTGCGTGAACTGTTAACAAGGTCATATTTCGGCACGTGGCGACCCAAAACATAACGAACAATGTGAAGCTTTGTTATGCTATTGTTTGAAAAGCTGTAACCACAAAATATAAGGTCGCGTTGTCTTGATCAAAGGGTGGATCAAAGATGATCGCAGTTCTTGTCGCGCATTGTTCCGAACTGTGGAGTTCCTCTTTAATATATTTTTTTTAAAAAAATAATATACTTCACTTCTTGAAGCAAAATGAAAAGAAAAAAGATATGATCCAAACCGTATATAAATAATTTTAAATCAAATAAACTTCCATCTCCATTCATTAGGTTTACTCTGTAGGCATTACGAAACATAAAACATTTTGTGTGAGTACTGTTGTGTATTTGGGAAGACTGAAAATAAAAGATGCGCTAGGATATTTATATGACGTACCCAATATATCGCAAGTAGATTAGGAAACTTTTCATAATTTTTTATCATCAATTTGTCAAGATTCGTCATATTTTACGAACGCCATTGTTGCGAAATAAGGCATTGTCCAGGGAGTGGGCATGTTTTGATAGACAAAAGCACAGAACGGCGTAAGTTGTGACGCCGTGTGCTACGGTCGAGTAAGCGTCCCCCATCCTCTCCCAGAACCAACGCCGAGGCCTCCAAACCAGCGTCGGGACGCGCGGTGACCTCCCTCCCACAAGCCTTAAAATATCAGTTTAACGTCGCCAGGCCGACTCGTGCGCCCGGCTGATTAAAAGTGCGGGTCCGGCTTTTCTCAAGGCGTGATGTCACACATTCATTCCACCCTTTGCCGGCGGCGGGCGATTTCGGCGACGGGTCCCGGGCCGACCACAACAGCGCGGCGAGCGTAAACAACCCGGCGGGTCGTCGGGTGAGGCGCCCCCTCCCCGCCCCCGCCACCCGAACCC